TAGACACATTCGCCATGCCAATTCCCAGCCGCGAGCCACAAAACTAGCACCCTCAGTATGGGCCGAAGACACCCTACAACCTCGACGACAAACGGGTCGCACGCGCACTACAACAAAGCCGTTCCAAATCAACCCAAGATTACGATCCTACGACCAACCATCGAGCTCATAAGGTGGAGGTGTTAGGACGGAGCTTGAGCGACCCGTTCGATCGCGCACGCCCCCGAGTTAGGCCACACGCACACTCACAACGCTCCAGATTGGCTGAACCCGATTGGATGATCACAAAACGTGTCAACCAATATTTGTCCAATCGATCATTCGATATTTCAAGGACACAATCTGATTGTTGCGCCACTGCGCCGTTCTCGTATGAACGATTAGTCCTATATGTTTTGCGTATTGATATCTAAAAAAGGAATACACAATGACTTTTGTCTCAACCTGTGTTCTCTCTCCGCGTTGTCGTTGGGGGTTAAGCAAGAGTTGCCTAAACCAAACACAACACTGATAGTCTTCAGTTACGCGTGACGGATCGGAAACTGAATCTGTCTTGGTGCTAGTCACACGAGCGTTGTATGAATGTTCTTTTGGCCCGTGATTTGATGATCACGTGTAGTTTGGATAGATCTACCAGGAAACGTAGAGAAAAGCAAGAAGCACGAAACCGTCGGCTGAGGAACCGCTACAAAATAAGTGGACAAATATCACTCACCGGAAAAGAACAATGACTTCACTACGATGTACAAAAATACAGGTGTCAAATCTAGTGGTTCGATTGCTTACTCGAAATTCACAAGAAACGTTGTTCTGTGCCATGGTCGGAAACACAACTGATGAGAGTGGATCTATACAATTGGACGAACCTAATCTAATGTCGAATCGGTCGTTCGCATACACGAAATAATCCTTCACTTACAGTCGTCTCTAGTTACAGTTATCTGCACTGTTGGGATAAGAACTGGGTGGCACCAAAAACAATGCCTCAACTGGCAAACGACACAATTAGAACCAAACCTCTCGGTCAGCGCACGCGCATGAACAATCACATCAGTCGACATCACGGGATATCTGAAACGATCAATGACCATAGTGACATCCTCATCCGTCAGTAAATAGTAGGGGCGCATATCTCTATTATTGGTCTGTGATCATTACTCAGAACGGGTATTAGGTAACAGGTAAAAACCCAACTGGTCAACGAACGAGCTCCCGGAACACATGCACCAGGCCACAGACGGTAAAGACGACAAGTAGATTGATCACTGTTGGACTAATACAAAGTGTACCAAGCCCCCACTCATCCACACACTACAGTCTTCGGGATGTCGCTCGTCAGAGAATTGAGTTTATTCAAGATATTTTCATTCATTGCAAACTCTACGACTGGTATGACTTATCAAAGGGAGACTTTTCACGCAGTGAAACCCAATAGGCCGTACGGAAACACCAGATCAATTACCAACGGTATTACATCACGTAAACCGACTGACAACAAGTTCAAATGTAATCAGTCGATAAGCATCAGCATATATGTACACATCAAGTACATCGAAAAACCATCATTAAGGGCATACTAAACTCTTAATACTTTCAGTTTCTTTACCGTAGCCCGACAGACAATTTATCATGAAATTAATAAAGCATAACAAGCCTTTATTAATACCCTAAACTGGAATTATTGTAACAACAGTATCCACTCAATAGAGTGAGAAGACAAGTCATAGATAAACAGCGGTAAAATCCAAGAGTTCCAGCAACCTGAGTTATTTTCTAATGTTGATCATCAATAAAAATGAAGTGCCATTAGATATACGATGAGTTCACGAAGGATATACGTACTATGAATGCTTCGTCTGGAGTCGCGGGAACTGCTTTAAGTACGTATGTAATCGGATCGAGGCAACACAAACTTAACTGGCACCCTCGAAATGACAGAGCTTTCTCACACCCCGCTTCAATAAATTCCGACATGTTCGTACTAGCACTTTCTTGCACCAAGCCGTTCGAACCGGGAAGAAATTCACAAACTGTTGATTCCTGTGAAATCTATCGACCAATACCAAGACATCTCTAACCTTGAGGTCCGGTGTTCTCTCGCATCACTTCCGCCTTCCCTGCAGCACAATACAAAAGTATTCAGATTTTCAAAGTAACAATTTATACATGAGCTTACTGCCAAATTGGATTTACTACAAAAGGTCAGCTGGGTGTGGTCTACATTGGTAGATGAGGCAAACGAATCATCTCGGCAGTTGTAGGTTTCGATTGAACACAGACAAGCATGGAACAATAAACACCTTAGCATATAAAATAACAAAACTATTTGGAAGAAAATCTCATTGCATAATTCAGGAATACGGTCGGAAACTGTTGCACATGCATAAGCTAACAGATCAGACATTCAAGAACCCAGTGATAATAAGTTATCCCGGAATTATTTAGAATTCTTATATGACAAGAGGATGCGCGACCAGAACCCATAAATAGCCGAATTCGTGGAGAGAAAGAGAAAACACATTCGGTAACGATGCCAAGATTCATCTCACGTGTGCGTGTTTGCGAACAACTGAAATATGGATTATATAGGTCATGTACAAATGGGAGAGCGAGAGAGTGGGTTAGACAAAGAGAATGCGATCATGGCCAAAGCGGAAAACAGGACAGTTGAGTGGATCGGATGCACTGGAAGCACCAGAAACGGGGTAAAACGAAGGGTAAGGGGGACGGTGTGTGTGTGAAGGAAAGCGTCGCAATGGGAACGACCAGGTAGGTTATCTCAGATAATGTGACTCTGCGGGGTGGTAATAGAAAACAAAGAGTTCACAGTGGTTGACCGCTTTTGATTCGTTCAAGACGCATTTTGATCTCCAACAACTCATTGGCAGAAATGGTGGGTCGAGGTTCTGGTTCGTCAGAAGTACTCGTGGTGGATCGATCATTTTTGGCCTGAAATTATAAACAAAGTCGCATAAACCCATGAGTCCGGAAGGATAAACGAGTTCACACATTATTGTTGTTAAACAGCTGCACATTATTCATTACCCATGCTTCACACGGACGAAGCTGATCAACGAGTGAAATGACGCAAAAACAAAATCGTAGTAAAAAGATTTTGTTACCCACACTCACTTTGCCTTCACTATCTTCTGACGGGTCCTTCGAGTCCTGATCTGCCGCATCCCCCGTCTGTGGTGTTTGGCCCAACAAACCAGGGCTCTCGTCANGACAGGAGCAGCTGGATGCGTTTCTCTTCGGAAACTGCCATACGACGAAGAAGTACTTCTTTGAGCACGTCGTATGGGTTGTGCGCAGGGATATTCATGTAAATATCCCTGAAGTTGATAAGCATGTCGCGCGGGATCGCGGATAACAACTTATGATAACGGGACAGTTGCCCGGTAATGCGAACTTCATGAAATCGCGATTCCAGAGGTGCGAGGAATGCTTCTGGATCCTCCGGCATGAACTCAGGAGCCCTGATTTAGGCCCAGAGTGCCTCGCTGTCCATGGAGTGCTTATGATCGGGGCTAATCATACTTAAGCGCAAATATATAATATGCGATTTAGGAACGGGATACAAAAATATTACCGAATAGCACCTAAGATACAAACTACGTTGAAAAACGAAAGTGGGCAAAAATGCAATAGTAAATGATGATGAAACCGCGAACTGTGGGTGAATATAATCTAAAATTGCACCCAGGAGAGTGTTTCCGTGAAAATAAATACACGGACAATTTAGCACAAACGTGACCTAGAGAAATTAAAATTCCTCCGAAAACAACAATTCTCCAACGTAAAGAAAATAAAATAAGGGCTCACCAATTTGTAGGAACTAGATTATCGGTATCCCGGGCTAATACGTGTAAGCCGCAAACGTACGTTCGTACGAGGAGAGAACGAGGCGATTCACGAAACGGCGGACGACGTGTATTATAAAGGCCTGCAGAGCAAGAGAGAGATACAGAGGCGTGAGCAAGCGTGCGGAAAGTGAAAGCAAACACGTGCTGACTGAAGAGATGGCCTTGATGTGATAAAACAATGAGATGCACAGGAGGAAATGTACATTGAGAACGGGATGTGATTGGTTACTACAGTACCAATGCTTTGCTGTCCCCTAACGAGTGGTGTTTGTTCACTCGGATTTTCTCCTCGAACGTACCACTCGAGTAGGCAGCCCGCTTTTTGACTGGGATATAGTACCACCCGCTACTGCGATCACCGTTTCCTCCTGCTTCGGGCGCTTGGAAAAGTATGCTGGTCCTGTTAATAATATTGGCTGGCCGGAGACGGTATTATTCGATCTCACTGGAGTCCCATTTCATACCGTGAGGTCCTTCAAGATGTCCTAAATTATTACCGCATTTGGGCTCGCCAAGACCCGTGGTAACCCGGGCATTTGCTTCAGCGTACCCCAAAATCGTTCTGTTTCCGTCT